TGGACACCTGGGTTGTCTGGGGCGGGGGATGGGGGGGTCGGAGAAGGGGGGCTGGGAGCCTGGACGCCTGGGTCCCTGAGGCCACACAGCCCCCTGCACTCACGCGGCACAGGTGGCGCTGCGCTCGCTGCCCGAGGAGGCGGTGAAGGAGACGCTGGACTACAAGGTGCTGCAGTCGCAGTTCTCGCTGCTCTACAATGAGAGCCTGCAGGTGAAGACGCAGCTGGACGAGGCGCGCGCCCTGCTGCTCACCACCAAGAACTCCCACCTGCGGCACATCGAGCACATGGAGGTGGGCGGGGAAGGGCCAGGAGGGGCGGGGCTACAGTTTAAGTAAAGTGGGGGCACGTGATGGGTTGGGACTTCATTTGGAATAGGTGTGTGGCCAATGGGTTATAGCTGAGAGGGGTGGGGCTAAAGGATGGGGGGGGTGTCTATAGCTAGTAGAGGTGGGGCAGACATTGGGGTGGACCATTCTCCTGGTGGGGGGGAGGGGGCAGAGCTCACAGGGCAGCCCCAGGTGGGTGTGGTGAGAAATTGGAGAGCACCTACCCCTCTTCTATTGGAATGTATTATTCCTCCTGGATGACAGGGGTGGGCAGCTGCATTGGGGCGTACCATTCTCGGGGGGAGCTGGTATGGGTGGAGTGGGTGTTCCTATGGGAGCTACACCCTTGATATCGGAACATACCATTCTGGGTGGATGGTGTGGCGGTGTGTGACTGTGAGGTGTACCATTTCTCCCGGGGGGGGCTCTCTGGTGACCGCTCCCCCCATCAAGGTGGTATCTTCCGCGCAGAGTGACGAGCTGAACTTGCAGAAGAAGCTGCGTACAGAGGTGATCCAGCTGGAGGACACGCTGGCCCAGGTGCGCAAGGAGTACGAGATGCTGCGCATCGAGTTCGAGCAAAACTTGGCTGCCAACGAGCAGGCGGGTAAGAGACGTTTCCTCCCCCCATACCTGTGTGGTACAGCCCTGGGTTCCCCCTGCCCCCACACACCCGCATGGTACAGCCTGTGGTGTCTTATTTCCCCCCCTAGTACACGACCCTATGTGGTATAGCTTGCCATTTTTGCTTGCACGCCTATGTATGTATGGTCCCAGCTCCTCCCCAACCAGCCATATGATACACCCTAAGCTACCCCTCCCCGTCCACCATTGTGGTACAGTCTTCCTTCCTGTAGCCTATGGTATAGCTCTTGGTTCTTTTTTCTGCCCACATGGTATGGCCCCCCTCCTGCCCCCATCTATGTGGTACACCTCTAGGTACCACCTACACCACCCCATGGTATGGCCCTGAGTCCCAGCACACTTATGTAGTACAGTCCATACCCCAGCCAGGTGCTATGGCCCCAACTTTTTATTGTATTGCCCTGATTCCTGCCCCGTCCCTCACCTCCCAACACCATGGTATGGCCCTGGGTCCCTTCCCCCTACAATTCCCAGCCATGTGGTATGGCCTAGGTTCCCCCCCCACTTGGCAACATGGTATAGTCTTAGATTTTCCCACCCCCAGCCACATGGTATAGCCCTGGGGTGCTCCCTCCCGTTTAGACATACTCATGTGGTATGGTCCAACTTGCCCCCTTCTGTATTTTATATATTGTGGTACAGTCACATTCCACCCTTATGCTCTCTTGTGGTATGGCCCTAAGAGCTTCTTTAGTCTTTCTCCCCTGCAAGACCTCACTTGGTACATCCCTAGGCCCCCCGCTTGTGGTTGGGCCCTGAAAAGGTTATTTTCTGCTCTGCTCCCCTCCCCCGAAGGAGAAGCACTAGGTAGAGCCCTGTGTGCCCCTTTCACCTACCCATTTGGTACATCCCAGAGCTGTGATAGGGCTCTGGATCTCTTTCCCCTCCCCATGTGGTAGCTGTGGTATAGTCCTGGATGTCCATTTCCCACCCCCCCAATCACTTACATACCCACATGGTACAGCCCAGAACTGTAATGACCCTGGGTTCCCCCCTGCATTGTACATGCCATGTGGTGCAGTCCAGGCTTGGTATGATCCTGGGCCCTTGTATCTATATGGTACTGCCCAGAGTATCCCTGTGGTACAGTCCTGCTTCCTGCCCTTAGCACCAAAGTGGTACAGCCTGAAGGCTCCCCATGCATCTAGGTCCACATAGTACATCCTGGGGGGGGGCAAGTGCCTCACTGGATCATACCATGGCTGGGAGAGGGCCACAGCTGAGGTGGTGGGGGGCTTGGGGTTGTACCCCAGTAGAGGGAGAGGGCCCCTCTAGGTCATACCACAGTCAAGGGGAGGGTCCTTTGGGTCATACCACAGCTGAAGGGCGTGGGGGGTGCTTGGCTTATAGATTCATAGATGTTAGGGCCGGAAGGGACCTCAATAGATCATCGAGTCCGACCCCCTGCATAGGCAGGAAAGAGGGCCGGGGCTAGATGACCCCAGACCCCCAGGGTAGGGGAGAGCACCACCTCCCTTGGGAGCCCGTTCCAGACCGCGGCCACTCGAACTGTGAAGAAGTTCTTCCTAATGTCCAGTCTAAATCTGCTCTCTGCTAGCTTGTGGCCATTATTTCTTGTAACCCAGTTGAAGGGGGAGGGCCTCTAGGTCACACCACAGGTGAGGGCAGGCAAAACTCTGCAATGTTTTGCAGCTGGGGGGTGCCTTTGGACCAAACCACAACCCAGGGTGTAGGGAGGTCTTTCAGATTTGCACCACCGCTGGGAGGGAGGTGTGGGGGGGACAGTGGAAATTGTGGATCATACCATCAGAGCATGGGGGTGGGGGGGCAGGGACATTGTTCAACCCTGAACAGTGTGGTGGGGGGATGGGGCTAGACATGCTGTGAGCTTCCTCTGGGACAGTGCCCCAGCACAAACTGCTCCCCTGCCCCTCAGTCCAAGGCCGCGAGCTTTCTTCTAACAGTGCTCCCCTCACCCCCAGGACCAATCAACCGGGAGATGCGGCACCTAATCAGCAGCCTCCAGAACCACAACCACCAGCTCAAGGGCGATGTCCAGCGCTACAAGCGCAAACTGCGCGAGGTCCAGGCCGAGATCAACAAGGCAAGGCCCGCGGCGGGCAAAGGGAGGAGATTCAAGGCTTGTGGGGGGGCTGGTGGGGTATGTAGGGCTGGAGGGGGTCTCCCCCTGCTCCCCCCCCAGCCTGGGGGTTCTCCCACACCTTCCCATTCGCTCACCAGATCTCATCTGAGCCCTCCCCTCATCCTGGGAGGTCTCATGGGTTCCCATCAGCCCCTGGGGGAGTCTTCCTCCGCCATGAGCCTGTGGGTCTCCCATGCCTTTCCATCAGCCCTTGGGAGGATCTCTTCTCCTCCCACTAGCTTGGGCAGGATCTATACCTTCCCATCAGCCCCTGGGGGGTCTCGTATCTTCCCATCAGCCCTTGGAGGGTTTTATGGTTTCTCATCCTGGGGAGGGATCTCCCACATCTTCCCATCAGCCTGGGGGGGTGTCACACATTCCCATCAGTCCCGGTGGGGGTCTCACATGCTCTCTCCCCCTCACAGATCCGTATGCAGTCCAGCAGTTTCCCAGCAGCCCCGGCAGCCCCCGCCCCCACCCCAGGGGCTGAGGAGGGTGGGGGGCCAGCCCCAGCGCTGGGGGGGCCGGCCAAGGTGGAGGAGGAGGGGCTGGCGGGGAGCCAGCCTCCCTCCCAAGAGCCCAAGAAAGAGCCCAAGGAGGCGGGGCCAAAGAAG